ATGGAGTGTTATAAATTGAAGGCCTCTCTAGATCTAAATATATTCTACTTTGTATTAGTATTTATTATTCTTATTCAGATCACCATTAAATGGCTCACTTGAAGTTATGGGGTTTTTATAAGAATTCAGATTATTATCTTAGTCTACATATTTGGACTGTGTATTGGCAATCAATATTGCTGTCTAGGGTTGCTACCTCTAATTATAGGTAATCCTTTATTTTATAATGATGAAACTTTTGAAACATAACTACAATAAAAATATTTAAAATAAAATATCAAGAGAAAATCAATAAGTGATAAGAAAAACATATGTTAACAAGCAAACAGAAATGATATTTGCATAAAAAATTTCTCTTCTATCACTAAAACTACAGTCATATTTCTATTTTATTAAGTTCTGAGCTACTCATATATGTCACCTTTTATTTGAACTCAAGCAAAAGAGAATATATCATAGTATCTTGTTAACATTTGAACCTATTATTGGGCAAAATCCAATTAACATAAAATTTATTCTAAGGAGCATTGTTAGGACAAAATTCATCAATGAGGCTTTTAAAAAATTATTTTAGAATTAATGATATAAAAGATTAAGAACGTTTAAAATATCAAATTATTGAAAATTGTATATAGAAAGCAAAATCATATCATAGAATGTGATTCTCATTACAAAAATGGAAATACATATCAATACCACTTACTATTACTCTTTACTGAAATTTATAGCAGAAAAGAAAATATCTGAGTTGTGTATAACCAAAATCAAGACATCAAGACCTAGATTATAGGCAAAAGCTAACTCTGCAGAGACCTAAATTGTTTGGAGTCCTGGACATAAGAGTATGGATCTGGGGCTGGGATTTAATTTATTTATTTGTTTGTTTGTTTGCTTATTTAGTACCAGGAATTGAACACAGGACCTCATGCTTCCCAGGCAGGTGCTGTGCCCCTGAGCTATGACCCCAGGCCTGGGGCTAGGATTTTAATCACTATGATAACAGGAAAATTATATGTGGACTCTGCCTGTACCATCTCAATCTTTCAATGACTAGAAAAATTGCTGCACATCAGAAAGTCCTCTGGAAAATTTGTGACCTATCCAGAGGCTTAGAAAGTATAAAAAAAGTGAAATCCCAACCCTAACCTTGTGCCACACCACATATAATACATGATGTAAGGATGAAAATTCCAAGACAACAAATTAATATTAAAATTTCTGGGACTAAAGATAAGAAACAAGCCCGTGTGAATTTGTGGCCTTGGAACTGTGTGCTCTTAAGATCATAAAACCGTTAAAAAGGAAGTGTGGAAAAAATCAGAATATTAAATTGAAGTAACTGAATTTGACTTCCTGGAAAAAATAAAATCATCATTAAAAAATAAATATCAGTGGAGCGGTTAAACAAACTGATCAGAGATAGACACGAAGAGCAAACTATGAAGGAAATGTGAGTCTGTTCACCAGAATGTAGTATATTAAGGTAATCATAAAACAATATGAGACTGAGGAATGGACTGAAAAGATGTGGTATTTTTATACAATGGAGTATTACCCAGCTATAAAAAAGATAAACTCTAGATTTTTATAGGTAAAGGATGCAACTAGAGACCATACTCATCAGTGAAATAAATCAGACCCACACGTGTAAACATTATATTGTCTACCTAGTGCAACACCCTGAAAGAGTATATAAAACCCAAAAGTACAATAGATAATATGAAAAGGAAAGAAATTGCTCAAAGGAAGGAACAACTGGGATGCGGGAAAGAGGAAAAAGAAAGGAACAAGGAAGGATATGTGTGTATATATATATATATATATATATATATATATATATATGGATAGGTGGGATCACTGTACTGCTAATGTCTGGTGGTTTATTGAAAGGAAGTCAATGTTTAAAATTTTTTATATTTTGACCAATTTTTCATGCTTATATCTGGTAATTTGAGCAACTGATTTGAAGATAACAATATGCAATGGAACGACCATTCATGGATTCCTACCATCTTGTCTAGTGAAACTCTGTATCATCTCTTATTTTTTTTAATAATTTTTTTTATTCTCTTTAATGGCTTGAACAGTCTTGTATTCTTACATCTGGTAATCTGAGAAACATAGTTGAAGATAACAATATATAATATAACAACCACTGTTAATTTCTATCATTGTGTTTTGAAACCTTGTATCATTTTTAATGTCCTTGCTTTGTTTATGTCTGTGATGTTGTTATTGCTATTGTTCTTTTTTTTCCTACTCTCTTTAAAATAAAAAAAAATATGAGCCAGAGACATTGAAGATAAAGTGAATAAATCTAACACCTTTGTAATGAGGGTTTAAGAAGCAGAGAACAGAGACTTACAGAGAACTATCTGAAGAAACAATATTGAGCGTTGTTATAGGTACTTTTCTCTCATTGATGAAACACAATACCGGATATCCAAAGTTAAAGGGAGAAAGGTTTGTGTGGCTCACAGTTTGTAGAAGTTTTAGTCCATAACTGGCTGTCTCCAAGGTAGGGTGTCTTGGCAGAGGGGCATCACATACAACCATTCATGACATCCACAAGGCAACAAAAGCAGCAAGGGACCTTAACAGTGTCTTTCTGCCCCTTTTATACTTTACCTACACTATTGGGATTAGGGTGGTACCAAATCAGTCAGTGGATTTATCACACACCCTCAGTCCCAGCATCACACACTCTAGATACAGCCACCTCTGAAAAAGCCTTACCTGTGACTTTAGGGGGACATCCAGACACAAACTATAGCAGGCATATTCAATAATTTGGAAGCTACATGACTCCAGGTTATTATAGTACTAGCATCAGGAGTTAGGTACCATCAAGAGTTAGTACATTAACTAAAATGTTCAGTTTTCAACAAAAAATTATAAAGCATGGAATTAATTAGGATGAATAGAAAAAACGTGTTATTTTCAGATTCGTTACAGTTTTTTCCAGTGCACAGTAAATTGGCCCCATGAGTATCTCATGCTATCAGTGGATTAAATAATAATTTCTTGTGGAGCATTACTTTTCAGGTCTTTCCTTCTTTCTAGGACTTTCCATTTATTATGCATTAGTTTCAGGTTTTTAGGTCTCTGTCAACCTTCTTTTTTAGCAAAATAAATATCTACTGCAGTCTGTTTTATATGCCTATGCTGCTAGCCAGATAATCTTCAACTGTCTATTATGAACACTTATCTTTTCTCTCTTCTTATCAACTATAGAATGTGTGAGACTATCTTTCATTTCATATATTTCCCAAGCAGCTGATTAGTTACTGTTCTGATCATCTTGGCTGAATAGACATGCAGAAAATGACTAAACTCATGCAGTACACTAAAATAATAGTTTCTCACTAAAATAATCTCCCTTTTGAATTTACCACACACATGTCTTAAAGAAGACCTACTGTTCTTGAAATTGTTGACTCTTTTCATTTATTTGTTCCTGGTTTGCCTAATACAACATAGAAAATGTAATTACTGTTTGATTTACGGAAGTTCAAAATTATGGGTCTGATTTCTCTTTAAGTCTTCACCATTCTATATTGTTAAGGAAAATAAGCCTTACTCGGAAATGTAGACTATTTTAGCCATATTTAAAAAATAGCAAAGAACCAATTATTTAGACTAAAGTCAAAGCATGATTCCCCTGTGGAGTAATTACATGGCTTCTTATCCTATGGCATAGAAAAATAAGATAATCTCAAATGCACGGACTTGCATACTAAGCAGATTCCACACACTGCTCTGGGTTAAGTATAAAGTCTCTCTAGTGCTAATTAAAATGTATGTGGCAACATTTTTAAACTAATCAGTGAACATGACCTTTGAGTTTTCATTTTACTAGTTTCCCATAGTTGCTGTTGTTTTAGATTTTTTCTGTTCATTCTTCATATTCGCGTAGACTGAATTTTACTAGTACATTATTTCTGGAAATCAAACAAGATTTAGCTGTCATATAAAGGGAAAGATCTAAAGATTGTAAAAATGTACTTTTAGTCAATCCTGTAGGGTTTTACTTTTCATTCACGGGAACAGTGCCTAAACTTAAGAAAATTTTCCCATCCTTAGACCCACCAGCTGACAGGCTGCCAAAATCTGTATAATAAAGAAGTTGCTGAACTTCATTTAACTTATTGAAATTCATTTAAAGGTAATTTTAAAATTTCCATGTAAGTTAACATGAGGCTAGAAATTATTGTCATTTATCTATATAACCATTAAAATAATATTCAAATATGTGAATCTTTTTAAAAAAAGTCTGTGTCAATTCACTTTTCGAATCTCCCTATAAATAAAACCTTCAATAATTTTAAACTACATTTAATCAGCATCCCATATGTTCTGTGTTAATTTGTGTTAGCAGGGCAAATTTCTTCTTCCATAGATCTTGGAGTGGAAAGGGACAATCAGACAGATAAACAATCTTAATGAGCTGAAAAGCATTTTAATGAATGAATCATATGATATGAAACTGAGAATATCAGACTTGGGCCAAAGGTGACAATGAGAGAGGAAAAGAAAGATAGAAAAAGCAAAAAATAGTTGTTCTTTGGAGTCTAAAGTTGAGCCGCAGACCACCCAGGGACAAAAGACCCATCCGCGCAGGCAGAGAAAGTAGCATGAGTAAATATGTGAACAAAAATGAGGGGAAAATGGAATATTTTTGAAACCTTCAGTTATCAGAAATAATTTAAATGTAGATGCAGATGGGAGGAATCAGAAAGTAGAACTAGAAAACTAAATTGAAATCAACAACCAAGATTCTTTACTGCCTTCAGGAGGAGTTTGGGTTTATGTAATAGATAATGATCAGCTTTTGAGTGCTTAAAACGTATTCTAAAAGTGAGTTCTGTATAATTTGCTGAACAACAGGTCTACCTTGGGCAAGTGTTAAAATTGTGACATTATTCAATAGTGTGGAATCTATCAAACAACAAGAATCTTTGAATGTAATGAAAATACTATTTGTTTTATTTTTTCCTTAGCTGGAGAAACTTCTGAGATTTGCCAGGAAGCCACTGATTTTTTGTGCCAGGATAAAAAGTGTATTGCATCCTACCTTGTTTGTGACTACAAACCAGACTGCTCTGATAGGTCAGATGAAGCTCTCTGTGGTAAGTGTATCTAATCTGCCAGCTGTAATGAAGCCAGCTTAGCTCAGATATCCACCCTGCGAGTACAGTAACACAGTGGCACCAAAGGCCAAGAAGAAATGTTCTTTTCATGCACCAGAGTAGACAGAATTGCCAAAATATTTCCCTCAACTTTTCTATATAAATTGCCATATAGAAGTTCTGTCATGCTTTTTACCCCATAATGAAAACTATAGCACATCGCTTCCCAAAATTTCCCATTAGAGAATTATGATCAGAATCAAAATGGTCAGAAACTGAATTATATTTTAATGATATTTTTTGCTTTTTCCAAAAAATGATTACATAGATGAGGCTAAAATGATCTTATTAAATAGTTAAGACATTCCAGTTTAGTGCTAATTTTATCAATTTCATTACACTAGAGAAAGACAATGCTTGACATGGCATCCAGTCTTCCAGATTTTTTTGTTTGTTTGTTTGTTTGTTTTTTTCCAGTACCGGGAATTGAACTCATGACCTTGCACTTACCAGACAAGTGCTGTACCGCTGAGCTAAATACACAGCCCTCAACCTTCCAGATGTATTTGGCAGGACTTGAGTTTTACATGACATGGTAGCTATAGACATTAAGGTAGTAGCTAGCCATTGTATGTAGTGCTGGTTTCTACTAAAATTGGTGTTCTAAAAGGCTGCATTTCGGGGCTGGGGATTTAGCTCAGCGGCAAAAGCGCCTGCCTGGCAAGCGCAAGGTCGTGAGTTCGGTTCCCGGTACCGGAGAAAAACTAAAAGGTTGCATTTCAAGAGCTTCATGAAAACCAGCAAGAATTATTTGGACTTAGCCTCAGGTGTCCCAGGATGTCACATAAAGCTCACTACAAAGAGAAAGAAAATAGGCTGTGTATCAGTGTAAGAATGTCACAAGGGTGGAGGATTTAATGTTAATGTTCTTGGAGTCATAGATCAAGTATATTTAAATTTTTAATTTTTAGCTCAAAATCATTTCACTCTCTATTTTCTTACATTCTTTGGTGATGCTTTTGAAGGGGTCATTTCCCTTCTTTCATTATTTTTTGCATGTGTTTGTTATTTTCTTTTAATTGTGGTATAATGTACCACTTCAGTGATTTTAAGCTTACAGTAGAGTTGCATTAAGTGCATTTCATTGTTGTGGAAACAACATCACCGTCTTTTACCAGAGTGTTTTCCATTCTGCAAAATTTCAACTGTTCTCTTTAAATGAGAATTTGTCAAGCTCTCCTTCAGTCCCTGGCAACCAGCCGTCTAGTTTCTGTCTCTATGGGTTTACCTAGGTTATGACCCTCATATAAGTGGAATCGTACACAATTTTTCTTGCTGTGACTAGCTTATTTTACTTAGCATAATGTTTTCAAGGTTTACCTCATATTCTAATTTTAGATGAAAGCGCAAAAGAAAGTGAAAATGGTTGGCACATTTTTAGAGTGTACTATGAATGCTATAGTATTATAAATATCAACCTCATAATATATGTGCATGTACAAATGTGTGAAAATTCAAACGTAAAAATGATTTTGTAATAGCTGTATTGACACGTATAACCTACTGAAGGGGAAATCAGCACTATTAAACACACTTAGAAAAGTTAGTACTAATGTTAAATTATTCTCCTTTCACTTAGAATGCATACACAGAGTCTGCCAAAAATGTATACACACGAGGAAAAGAAAAACTTGTATAAATATTTTAATACTAAATGCATTGAGACATCATGAGATTAACAAGTTATTTGGTCTCTACAATTACAAGAGGTACTCGCAGTGGTGGCCTTTAGTTTCCAGATATTTATTAATATTGCTTGGATAAACTCGGCTCATTGAGATTACTGCACATCCATTGTCAGGTTCTTCTCTAAAGGACAGCAGTGTAGCAGGCTGTCTGCAATGGGAACATCCTCTAGGATGTGCCCATACAAAGGTAACACCATCTGCTGAAAAGCATCGCAGTATTTTTTCCTGAAATGTGTATACATTTTTTGACAGACTCTGTATATTAAAAATTGTATATAAGCATCATGTCATCCATTTATTCCTATTCATATTATGAGCTAGAGGCAACTTTCTAAGAATTAAGGATTTAAATATGAGTAAGATATTGCTTGGACTTCAAAAATTCACTTTGAACTGTGTGGAAAAAATAGGGGGGGGTGTATCAAATACAATATTCTTTGGCTTTTATTTTTCAATTGTTCATAAATACAAAAATTTCCTTTTCATTTTAAGTTACTACCACTTACTTTAGGATGACAAATTAAGAATGATATTGGTGCATGTATGTGTGTGTATGAGTATATGTGTTTCCCTGCAAGTACATAACACACAACATGTATTTGAAATATTAATATTAATATAGGTTTACAAATATAAGAAATGGCTATTTTTATATATATATATATATATATATATATATATATATATATATATATATATTTTTTTTTTTTTGCTTCACTCTTTCCCTCTCAGGCTATCTTATACAAGTTTTGTTTTTCCCATAGCTGTCTGAGGTACTGATGTGAAAGCACAGGTACAATTTTTATTTTCAGAAACCAAAGTCAGTTACATAATCATATGTGATTAGTGTTACCCACAGTTTTGATGGGCTGTGCAGGAAGTATTTAAATATATAAAATCTAAAGGACAAAATTGCTAAATGAAATAGTCACTTCTTAAGAACTTTTTCATAGAAATTTTGTTCATATCCTCACAGAGCACTGTGACATATTAATTCTGAAAATCAACCTCATCAGTATTTCATATTGATGGTCATCTGAATACATTATAGGCATTAGAGTAGGAGCCTTTATTCTATTTTTACTGATTATACTAAATTTATTAAAATTTTATGGAAACCTTATAAATATGTATTGATGAAGGTGAATGTGAATGATTTTATGCATATTGTTTGTAGTAGACATTGCTCTTATTTCTTGTTTTACCCAAACTGATCCAGTTGGTGCTTCTCGTCCACAGAAAGGCATAGAGAAAAAACATTTTTAGTGTAGTATCAACTTTCCTGCAGGCAGCAAAAAGACAATGTTTCTTTCTCCATCCACAACCATACAAGTTTACACGGACAGCTAGTTTAAAAAATGACAAAAAAATAAGTTCTGAAATAAATGTGTTCAAAGTATTACATTTCTAAAACTATAATATAGGGAATGAAAAATGTAGAATATTTATCTCACTTTGCTTTATAACAGTATTATATTAACTGTCCAGTTATTACAGCCTTGTTGGTAACTTTTTACAAAATTACATTTTGATTCCTGCTCTTTTACTAGAGCAGGATTCTTGAAGTCAGGTCATCTGTTGTGAATAATGGAATAAATGACATTTCCAAAGACATATTTAGAGAATGATCAGGAATGAATGGAACTTTGGGGTTATTAAACTGAAGTCTTGACTTTGACTAAGACTCTTGCTTATTGGGAAGTGATTTAAATTCTCACACATTCATTTTTGTCATCTGTATAGTAGGTATAACAACTCTTTTACTGAGTGCGATGAGAATTAATGCATAAACAGAGTGAAGGAATATATAGAACTAAGTAAAATACCTTTTCATTGGTAGCATCTTTCCCTTCATTACTTTTATTGTAAAATCTGTCAATCCTGATGAATGCCTCTCCTACATGTCCTTTATACTATCAGGAAAGAAAGGCAGCTGTTTCTTATGACTAAATTATTACCATAAGTTATTAACACATGTAAAATTTTTCTGCACCACATTTCTTCTTGCAGAAATGTGTGCTTTTATAAAAAATAAGATTAATTCTCTTTAGAAAAAAATAATAAAGTCAGAAAGTGTGCTTTTTTTCCCAAGGAAAGAAATTATTGCCTATAACTTGTAATCAGTACACAGGGTGTTCTGGGCCCCGGGTGTGCAGTGCTGGGTGTGTGTTTTTCTCCTGCCTCTCACAGGCTGCACACAAGTAATTATTCAGCCAGGACATTCTTTCCCATGCACCAAGATTCTTCATAGTCCTTCTCAATTCAGGCCACTAAGAAACCATCTAACAATGAAAATGTTAGCGTTCGAGGGAACATTAATATTTCTGTACCATGCATTATGATATAATAAAAATGAAGTGCATATGTAGACATGAGGAACTAAATATTATTACCTGGGGAACTATCCTTCAAAAATATGTTGTTTAAAATAATTTAAGGTACACAATATATAGTATAACAACCATTGTTAATTTCCTATCATCTTGTTTTTCAATTCTGTATTTTTTTTATTGTTTTGTGTTGTTTTGTTTTTGTCTTTGCTGTTGCTATTTTGTTATTATTTTTCTCTTTAAAATAAAAATTAAAAAATATGTTGTTTAATATGTGCCCTGATCATATAGCCGCATGGGCAAATATTACACCCTGGGAAAATGCCAGTTGTTTAAAAGAGGGTTGGTAATGATTTGAATCCATTCAAGGGATTGTGAAAAAGATTGCAATCTAAAGAACATTTTTCCTAAAGTAACTAGTATTTTGAAAATACAGATATATATTCATTACTAGGGAATGTTATAAAGTACTCCTGTAATCCATCTTTCAGTAAATGTTTATTGAAATGCTTATGTGTACGTGCAGTTTGGTAATAATAACTGGTCACATAGAAATGTTAGCAGTAACTCCATGTTAAGCAACCATACAAAATAAAAAGTAATAGACTTTGAAATGACCTGTCACAACCACAATGGTTGGTAAGTGCCTTACACACACATCACCGTACAAATTGATGTGGTCTGGGAAGGGAGAGCTAGGGCTTGAGTTGGACTTCAAGGGTGGATATGATTTCCATAGAACAGAGAATGGAATATGTATTAATTACGGTACTTACAACAGAAATTCAGACCTTGGCCAGTACAAGTTAAATAGCCTGACAGTACCTGCTAGGTATCTTTTCAGTCCTGTTTGCTCCTGAAAAAACAGATCTCCTGTTTTAATTGTAGCAGGATTGTGTTGGGCAACAAAATCGTCTTCTCCAAATTTCCTTACAGTTATAAGAGGCCAATAAAATTTATGTAGAAATTTAGGGGAAGGTGGCTATTTCCTAAAGAAAAACTCATCTTGCAAGCATGCATAAGCATAGTTCAATGTGGGTAAAGAGAGGGCCCAAAGGAGAGACTGCATTCTATCTATCTCAGAATGACAAGTTCCTAACTCCTTGTTAATTTAGATAAAAATTAATTCTTGCTTGCTTAAGGCTACGGTGAGTTGGGTTTCTGGTTGATTGGAGCTAAAATATTTTCAAAACAGACAACAAGCAAAGTCTTTTATCTCAAGTAGCAAGAAGTTCAAAATCTTGGCAGCCCTCAGGTAGTTAATTTTGATTATCATCAGAAGTACAGGACTATGCAAACTCCTTATGTTCTGCTTTCCTCAGATAATGGGGTTTGTTATAGAATTATATCCTTGCATAATTTTATATCTTTGCAGCCATATCCTAGGAAGGAATGAATAGATTTTCTTCTTCTTTTGTTTTTAAGAATAGGAAAACTTCTAGCAGTGCCTTCCACAGTAACTCTCATTGTCCTGACTTGTATACCAAGATTATGCCTGAACTACCCAGATGAGGAAAGACAGGAGATCATGCCACAGCTGTCTAGAGGAGATGTGAGCCACCTCTGGAGGCACTTAGAGCTGGAGACACCTACCTGAGTCAAAGAAGGGAAATGCTCAGATAAAAATGCTGTTCCATCTTGAACAGGACAGGAACGACTGGGTGATGAATGATTAGTCAACTGCCAGAGAAAATATTGAAGAGAGGGAGAAAAGTACTCCTAAACATAAATGTTTTAAAATGTCAGCTTGTAGTTAAGAGATTGTCCTCTGAAAAATTTGGTTGCAGTGAGGAGAATTTTGAAGATGAGACAGATTTCATTCTAAAAATACTTTGTACCAAAGTAAAGGTTATTGTATTCAAGCCTAGGCGTTTATGCGAGTACTTTCAAACAGTGTGAAAAACAGAGTATTTTAAGCAAGAGAAAGTAACACAGAGCAGTCTTCGGGATGATTAATGTGGCTTAGGTTTGAAAGGTTGAGGAGATGAAGGCTGTATGAAAGAATCTCTTAAAATAAATCAGCAGCTTAAAGTAGTGTGGTATGACTATGGGACTATAAAGAATGTAACAGATTCAACAAGTTCTCAAGGAAATTGTCTACAGGTATTGGTGACACCATGGATGTGGAGATGAAGACTGCTGAATCAAAGGTCATTCTGAAAGTTTTAGTCTTCAAAAACAGTAAGAACATACATGTTAGGAAATTAAACCATAAACTCACAGAGAAGGAGCCATTCGGAGGGGTGAATAGTGGGTGTGTTTGGGATTATTGGTTTTAAAGTGACAGCTGCATATCCCAGGTAGAATGTTCAAGAAGCATTTGAAGATATTTGGCTGCCTTGTGGTTGTAGATTTGTAGGTCATCTGTGTAAAAGTAGGAACAACTACAGGACTGCAAGGATAACGATATGTATGGTGAAACATTTCAGCAGGTAAATATATCTTTAAGAGTGGAAGAGAGGCAGCCTGGCAGTGTCTGAGGGTGGAAGGGTGAAACTAGTAGAGAATGTAAGACTAAAAGACACAAAGAAGTTGTGTAAACTTGAAGGTAATGAAGCTAAAATACAAGTAACGTTATTGTGATAAAGATTTGAGAGAGCAGAGAGAGATTAGCCTTAAAAATGAGAATAGGAATGGTGACATATTTTGAGATACAAATAATGAAATATAATGTACTATGATTATATAGGTACCTTCAAAGTCTTCAAAGAAACATATTATATAAGGTAAGACAGGAAGGACAAGGGAGTCCAAGAACCGAAAAGGAGGTAGGATAATTATTGTAGGGCTTAGGGTCAGGAACTCAGTTACACAGAAGTACAAAAGCACAGGACCTTTATGTGACATCATTTTAGAGAATGCATAGGGGCAGTCTGGCGTATACATTGGAGCGTTTTGAATGTTCACAGATGCATTGGGTAAATACTAGCAGGACTGAATTTCTCATTTTGTACATAACGTAAACCTATTTTACATAAACAGAATACCAACATGACATGAACAAAAAGGGTATATAGAGCCCATAGCTAAGCATATAAAAATCACTGGATTATATATATGATTGAAAAACCATACATGATTAAAATTATTCTCAGTTTTAGGAATAAAATTTAATACTATTTAAGAATTAAATGTTGGTATTGTATGGAATCCTCTTATGAATAGAGAAAACTTTGCACAAAGGCGTACAAGCTGTCTGCTATGTTTGGTATCCATGTAATAGCAAGTCTTATGTTTTCTTATTAAGATTTTATATGCTGTTTTTTCACATTAAGAAAAGTTCTGACCAAGAAGAAATTTTAAAATACCGCAAACTTCATCTTTGTAAGAAGAAAGGAGAAATCAATGACAATTTCAATTGATTCGTACTGATTAAATAGCCCAATAATTCATTCTGTCTGGAGAACACAGTCAGATTTTACAGTGAGTGCTCAAAAATAATAACTGCTGTGTCAAAGAAAAGAAAAAGAAAGACAAATGGAACCCTAGCTATCAGGGTATTATTATGCAACTTTTCACAGACAACTAAGAGTAGACATTCAATTATCTATTAAATTTTCTCATTGTGAGCAATTTAATTTTTAATGAAATATCAATCAATGTTTTTAGAAAAAGAAGTTTTCATTCTTGAGTGACTACTTCTGAAGTATGATGAGTTTAGTACCTGAAAGTGTTTGTGTACTATACAGTTTACCACTTTTTCCAACACAGATTTTATTTAATAAGTGACTTTATCTCTCTAATTGTATACACTATTCAAACATCAGAGTAGAGCGAATGTCTGTACTGAGCACCTGGACAACATAAACTCTTCATTTACTAGCCCTGAATTACTTGTGTTATCATCATGTTATGTTCATTTCCTATATAGGCACAACTTTATCTATCACCTAGAAATATCGTTAGTCCCTTTAGATAGTTCCTTAATGTGCATATGACATCACTCATACACTGCTTTTAGGTCCTTTTATAAAAAAGCATTACTTTGTACAGTCAATATTATGAATTCAAATATTTTGGTTGTCTAAATTGAGAAAGAGTTAAAATTTGCATATCTAATTTTAAATCATCAAAAATGTGGTGTAGGATGAAGTGTGACAGACATATCCAGAAACTTCCATAAACATTTCTCTTTGCTAGGGCATTACACAAGCATCCCTGGGAGCTGCAATTTTGAAACTACTTCAGGAAACTGGACCGTAGCCTGCAGTCTTACACAAGACTCTGAGGATGACTTGGATTGGGCCATTGGTAGCAGAATTCCTACCGAAGCATCCAGTACAGACTCTGATCACACACCAGGTAAATCTAGTAACAATACCTACACCCAGTGCTCTGCAAGGCTCTTTGCCTTCTGTAACTGAACGACAGAGGACACACCTGTGTTTCTCTGGGGCTAGAATCCAATAGCCTTCCTGGAAAGAGGGCTAGTTTCTTCTGTTTTAACCCCTGAACTGTTAAATAGACCCAGACCTGATGTTGTTGCAAAGGAGCCTCATAATTTAAGTGATAAAAGATTTTATTCACTGTACCGTAAAGATATCCTGAAGGGTCCCAGCTGGGACTGGGCTGGGTGGTGATGACAAGATCTATGAGTGCAACAGGAAAACACGTACAGTTGGCAAGGATAAGCCTTGCTGTCCCAGTGGCCATTCATCTCATCACTGGTCTCATTACCAGCACTCTGAAGTACAGAAACCAAGATGGGAAAGGCAAGCGCTTAGGGACTGAGTGAGCATGAACACCTTCACAGGTTTTGCTTCCTGCTTTATGATCTGAAAGTAAGGGAATGTTTAATGCATTTATTATCAAAAGATTCAAAGTAGAAATGAGCTTACAAGCTTACTGTTACCTACATGTTGTGGAGACACCACTTTTCTTAGAAGTCTTAAGATAATAAAGTGTTACAATAGGGATGAAAACAACATAGCATGTCTTAAAGATTAAAAATAGCCTGAGGTAAGTGATGCTTAATTTTATGCATCCACCTGAAGGGTGTTTTCAGATGAGGTGCACATTTAGATTGGTGACTGTAAGGTAAATCAGATTGTCCTCCATGTTATGGTCTCCTTTTAGCTAATGGTCTGAATAGAGCAAGAAAGAGTAGCCTCCGCTGTAGGAGGGATTTCCTCAGTAGCCTTCCATTAAAATTTGTCTGTGCCATAAGTTTTTCTGGGCCTCCTTTGTAGATTTTGGACTTAACAGTCTTCATAACTGTACGCGCCAGTTCCTTATGATAAATTGCCTTCTATATGTAAGCACATATTATTTGTTCTGTTTTTCTGGAGAACCATGACTAATACAATATTCCCCAAAACAAACTGCATTTGCAAAAAAAGAATATGCAAGATTGGGTGAGCTACTATATAACTTTTGAAAAAAAGACATTAATTTTGTTATTTTTATGTTCTAGATAAACTGTATCATGCACTTATATTTGTATATTATAAATGTCTGTCCTTGTGTAAGTTTTTCTCTAATTTTCTCTAATTCATCTTTAATTCAAATATTCTTTTCACCTGCCTAGATATATTTCTTTTCTTTCCATAGTGTCTTTTTTCTTCCTTTTGAAACTACTAAGTTATTGTGTGCTGGATTATAGGTTGAAGAAGATAAACAATCTAGAAGTTGAATCCAGTAAGTAGGAAGATTTAATATGTGAATAATATATTTATTTCAATGCAGTGTGAAAATATGTATTATTTATTATAGTGCTGACATATCTTCTTATCACCAAGAAAGATAGGAAATTAAACCCCACTTCTGTGTCACATGCAGACATACATTACAGATGGAATAAAGGCTTACATGTAACAAAGAAACAAAAATAAACTCTTACATAACAACAGAAACTAAAATAGGTGTAATTTAGAAGCAGTCTACATCCCCGAATCCCAAAGCTAATTTCTGAACCTAATTTATTTGTCTACATCAACATGCAGTAATCCACACACACTAACTTGTATGGAAGGGTATTTAGTTGAACATGGTTTGTAATCTAAAATGGGAGAGTGAGTGAATGCTCATCATGTATTCGTGTTTCTTTGCTCATCTCTTTCATTGTCAAATTCCAGGCCCTTTCTCAGCCCTGATGTAACAGTGAATAAAACAGATGAAAATCCCCCACAGTGGCACTTACACTCTAGACAAAAGATAAAAGATGTTGGATAAATATAATGTATAAATTCTATGACTTGTTAGAAGCCCAGAGGGAGGCCAGCCATGGTGGCACACGCCTGTAACCCCAGCACTCAGGAGGCTGAGGCAGGAGGATCACTGTGAATTTGAGGCCAGCCTGGTCTACAAAGTGAGCTCAAGGCCAGCCTGAACTGCATAGCCAGCCCCTGTCTCAAATAGACAGAAATAAGTCAAAAAGGAAAAAGGAATGTGCAGAGTAAGTATGGATGGGAAGTGTGTGCTTGAGTATCTCTGCAGGATGCAATTACGTAGGTTTGTCAAAACAGACCACTGAGGAGATGTCATTTGAAAAAAGGTTTGAAGGAACGGAACCAAGTGGATACCTAAGGAAAGAGTGTCAAAACCAAGGGTAGGGTCGGCCTGTGCCTAGTAGTGGTGTCAAACCAGTGCTGGTGATATTTGGGTCAGTCGCATAGACTGTTGAGAGGTTATCATATGGACTGTTAAATGTTTAGTAGAATTCCTGGCCTTACCCACAAGACCTCAGAAGCACTCACCTTCCTAAGTAATCATAACAAATCAAAATGTCTTTGGAAGGTGTGAACTGTCCCCTGAGGAGGGAGAGGAGAGGCAGGTCACCCTCGGATGAGCACCTGTAAAAGTCTGAAGCAAAGATCATTTGTAACATACACAGTATGCAATGTTATGCCCCTACTGAAAAGAGGACTTAGTATTATGTAATTAAATTATAGAAGTTTCCAAAAGATATTGTCAAGAGAGTAAAACAATATGCAAAATTATAATATAGTGTTATCGGGTCTTCTTAAAGCAAACAATAGCCCCATATTGATAAATATGTATCAACTGATAGATTTTTCCCTAAATGACAAGCTTAGAGGAAAGGATACATACATGTTTATTAATATGGGCTACTTGTATGAGTGATAGAGTTGGAGGTGAGAGGGAGTATAAATCCAAAATTAAAGAATGAAGGTAAACAAAACCGGAAATTTCACTTTAAAAGGCAACCTAGTATACACGGTGATAACACATTTATGTTTATGTGCTGGAAATTTTTAAGATTTTTCCATTTTAAAATTCTAAATTATTTTGTCTCACTCTTATCATTTATTTCCACTCCAGTATTTCTTTTTTATCAATGTACATGACTAATCAATGCACTCTTTTCTAATATTTTTAGAATACAAATAAAAACAACAAAAACTTTTCATGTAATTCTAGCAGAGTGATAAGACCTGCTTCAATAAGCTTGGTTTATATATACTGCTATTTTCTTAATGTACTTGTTGTGAGATAAAAATAGCTTTATTTGACTTTGCAGTGTTATAATATAGTTCAAATAATTGTATGTGTTGTGAAGTATTTTGAACAGCATGATTTTAGTTGTAGCATAGTATTCCAGTTTGGGGATATATCAAAATTTTATATGTATAAAATTTCCTAATGCTTTCATTACAGTAAGCATCATAACAGTGAATATACATTTAGATGGGATTTTTTTGTTTACTTACATTTACAATATTTTAAAGAGATAAATACATTGTTTTCCTTGAGAAATGATGAGAAATGAGGCAATTTTCATTTGCAGCTAAATTGAGACAGTAACATGTAGGTACAAACAAGGAGCTTCTTTTGATTCCACGTTTTTCCTTACTCTAGAAGGTACTTCAAAAGCACTGATACTGCAGTCTGATATTGTCAATGGTAAAATGATATTGTAAGTTTATGTGCAAAAAGACATATGCACTCTTTGTTTAAAAAATCTAACATGTGAAAATGATACTTTTTAATTGAACAATTAAGGGCTATTAACGGAAATATTTATTTTCTTTTTTGTCCTTTGGAAGCTTGTGTAAGTTCATTAAAGACCACACGAACAGTACTGAATCTGATTCGTTATGCAGTGTTGTGTACAAGTATGTTGTCCAAAGGTAAAGGAATGGAGCCATTCTGACAGGATGTGTTATTTTCTTCCTTGCTAATCACTACTTGCGACAGTACATTTTTACAGAACGCTTTCTTCAAAGCAGCCAGATTATATCATCTTGGTACACAAATACGGCTCAGTGAACTTGTTTAGCCATCTCTGAGACAATGAGCTGCTAAATAAATTGGAAAGACATTAATTAATTTTCGCCCTGTGAGAAAAACAAAACTCTTTAGAGGAAGGCCAACAGAATCAACGAGCCCATGGTCTGTGTCTGAGCATCAGAACGTTGCTGTTAATTAAAGCTGTATTTATGGATCTTTGCACTTGTTATCAAGATGAAGAATTATATACAGAAGGAGGTCATTTTCAAAGCCCATTACAGGCATATTTACAAGCCCTTTTGGAGACATTGTGGAGTCCAGAGAGAGAATTTACAAATAACAGTGTACTCTCTCATCTACTCAGGAAAAGGGTTTATACTTAATATAGACGAGATTGAATGGCAAAAGTGACATTTGTGTGACATGAATTAATGAAGGCATAATACATAAGACTCCTGTCTCTTCTTCCCTTCCTTACTAACTTCCTTTTCTTCTTAATGATTAATGAATTGGCCATCTCTACAATTGAACTATAAACTCCAGTTGGACATAAATCACATCTTCTGCAATTTTTATATTCCTCCGGCATTTAAGTTAAGCTGAAATCACTGCAGTTAAGTACTCTCTCAGGTCACATGTTACTTGGACCTATTCTTTCTGTATACATGAACAGCAAAATATTTTTGATTAATTAGTGTAACTAGCATTTTCTTAGTGCCTATTTAATACCACACTCTGTGTTGAGAAACAAGAGTATGAGTTAAATAGATGTTTCTAAAATATTAGAGTGGAATATGCCACCCGGTAGAACTCACATACTTACAATGGTGCAATTGTATATTCAGCCCCCAAGGTCAAAACTACACCTCATAATCTTAATGTTCTCATGTGCATAACTTTGATATAAGGTGTAAGGTGTTCAATATATTTAACTTGATACTAGGTTGACAGTGTCCTTTGGGTTAGGCAGATGATAATTGTATTTTCAGTAAGACAGATGTGGTATATGCTGTCATTCCTTTATTAAAAGTTAGGACCACAGACACTAAACTATTTCTGTAAAATGAGTATCAGAGCCTGAACTGACTCAGGACATCACCACAGAGTGTTCC